GTGAAAGAGGCCAAAACCCCAAATCTCTGCCTTTTCCATAGGAAAAAACCCAAACAGAACAACACAACATAGTAAAAATGAGAAGAATTCGACTTTACGGACAGCTTTGTACCAACTCACTTTACTAATTCTCCTAGAAATGGAGAATTAGTAAAGTGAGTTGGTACAAAGCTGTCTGTAAAGTTTAATTCAACTTTTCCAGGAGGAATAGACCAAAGAAAGATAATTATTTAGCTCCTCCTCTTGCTAGGCAGGACTGACAGTTCTTCAGGGCTCTCTCCAACCACATGAGCGTTTTGTCTCCTTGGGGGAATATAGGCAGCTGAACTTGTTCCCTGATGATCCCCAGCAAAAAACCCACACTTTCTCTTTCCTAATGATGTCAAAACTGTGATATTTTTGGGTTATTTTTATTCCACCTGCCTTTCTCAGCCTGTATCAGTGACTGCTGTGCCATGTGAGGGTTATTGCTGTTATCACTGAGGAGGAAGGAGGAGTGATGGAGTTATTTATTTACTCCTTTAGTTAATGTGCAAAATGAGCCATAAGCTCCAAGTCCTCCAGTGTGTATCTGTTTGCTGACCTTGATTGAGTTAAAGGTCTGTGGACATTAAATTCACACATCACTGACCTTTTCCAGCTGAGTGCTGGCTGTTTAAGTTTGGAGCCATCCAAGCACAGGCAGTGGAGTGGGATAAAAGCCTTCAGAGCTGGGGTTTGCTTGCTCTCTGTGGACTTGGAGGAATGGTAAAAAAAATCAGGTCAGACTAAACATAGAGCTCTGACTCAGCTAAAACTGAGGGATGATGTGTCCCACTGACAGAGGAGCTGAGATACATCCCACTCTTTCTTTATGGGACCATAAAATCATTAAGGTTGGGAAAGATCTCCAAGATCATCAAGAGGAGTCATTAGCCCAGCGCTGCCAAGGCCACCACTCACTCCTGTCCCCAAGGGCCACATCTACATGGCTTTTAAGTGTCCCCAGAGGATGGTGACTCAACCACTGCCCTGGGCAGCCTGTGCCAGGGTTAACCCTTTGTCACTCTGGTTTTTTAAGATTTTCCAAGCTTTCTGATGTTGACATTCTTGTAGTGATCTTTCTCACACACTTTCTTTACAATGAGTAAATAACTCATTGTTTTGCATTCCTTTGTGGAGGAGGAGAAATTTGATGGACTGTTGGTTTGTCCAGTGTCATTGCAGAGGTGGCACTGTCACCCTCCAATCCGCTGTCACTTTTAGAAAACCGTAAATGTTGGAGTCAGAAAATAAACTTCCCTTTATTTCCTTCACCTTGAGAACAGCGGTGTGAGCTTGTGTTCTTTCGTGTCCTATAGTGACAACCCTTTCAGTGAAGGCATTTTCCCTGATATCCAACCTAAACATCCCCTGGTGATGATTGAGGTCGTTCCCTCTTGTCCTGTCACTTGTCACTTGGGAGCAGAGTCACACCTGGCTGTCCCCTCCTGTCAGGAGCTGTGCAGAGCCACAAGGTCCCCCGTGAGCCTCTGTGGGATCTCAGCACCTCAGTCCTGAGGTGCCGAGTCACTGAGACCACCCTTGGGGGGCTCGGGAGTCCTGGAATGTTGCCAGAAGTGTCTGGTGGCTGGACTTTGATCCTACACAGGAGATGACACCTGTATGAGGATAGGAGGGTTTCACCGGGGTGAATGGTGAAGAGATAAGTTAATTAGAGAGTGAAAACAGTCCTGAGGTGCTGAGATCCCACAAGCCTCCTTTGCTCCAGGCTGAGCTCCCTCAGCCTCTCCTGGTGCTCCAGATCTTTCCCCATCTCCATTCCCATCTCTGGACATTCTCCAGCTGCTCAATGTCCTTCTGGTCATGAGGAGCCCAAAACTGACCCCAGGATTCCAGGTGTGGCCTCACCAGTGCCTCTCCTGGTGTTCCAGCCCCTTCTCCAGCTCCATTCCCATCTCTGGACACTCTCCAGCTGCTCAATGTCCTTCTGGTCATGAGGAGCCCAAAACTGACCCCAGGTTGGAGTTGTGGCCTCACCAGTTCCCAGCACAGGGTTCAATCCCCACCCTGGTCCTGCAGGACGCCCAATTCCTGTCCAATCCAAGTGCCAGTGCCCTTCCTGCCCACCTGGGCACATCTGGGCTGATGTTCAGCTGCTGTCACCAGCACCCCCAGGACCTTTTCCAGCCCCTCTGCCCTCAACCTGCAGTTTTATTTGGAGTTGGTGTGAGCACCCACCTTTCCCGAAAGCTCACAAGAAGTCAGCACCAGCACCACAAATCCAAGATTTTCTGTATTTTGGTATTTAACTGCTGGATTCTCTTTTTTCAGACTTTTGCCTATCATAGATATATATTTTCTTTTGGATTGTATAGCAAAAAAATGATGTGATTTTAAAGATTCTATGCATAATCAAATTTATCTGAGCCTCTCACAATAAATACATTTTCTTTTGGATTGTATGGCAAAAAATGATGAGATTTTCAAGATTCTACATATAATCAAATTTACCTGAGCCTGTTACAAGCCCACTTTTCAAAACAGAGCCTCATTTGTTTTTTTAAAGGTGATAAAACCCCTTGATCAGAAGTAAATATTGGACCATTGAGGTGAATATACAATTATCCAACTCAGGCATGAGATTTTAGTGAAGGGAAGAAGTGGCAGTGAAGTACTTGCTAATGGGCTTGGAGTAAAATCTTCAGCCTAAAAAAAATTCAGATCTGTTGTAGAACTACAGAGTGCTTTGCCAACCCGGATCAAAGTTAGAGTAGTATGAATTAATTAATTTATAAAGTGAAAATCAGAGGTATTTATAGATGTGAGATGAATTTGGCAAATGTTTAAGTCCAGAGAGTTAAAACTTCCCCTTGAAAAAGTCAGAATGTTTTGAAAACATTTCAATCTTTATTTTTCCAGCAAGTGTTCTGCAAATCTCTCACGCTTCCCCTCGTGCTTTTTAAAGGTTAAAATAAAATGGCAAGAAGAACTGTAAATCAAAACAAAATAACTCTATGGTATTTGAGATGAGCCAAGATGAAATTTCCTAAGATCTCTTTCCCTTTGGGGAAAAGAAATATTTGAGAACGAAGACAGCTCCAAATGATTCCCCTTCTTCTGGTGTTTGTATTTTTATTTATTTTTAATTTGACTAGAAAACCACAATTATTTGTTTATACACTACTAATCAAGACCCACTCCCAACCTAAAGGAAATTAAAATCTAAACCAGGCATGGCATGAAACAGGGAAGAGAGCAGGATAGGTTAATAGGAAACAGTGAGATTAATCTAGTGTGTTAAATTATTTTTTAATCTTAGCCCAAATTTACATCAAACAATTGTTCCTTCAAAGGACTGCTGGACTTTTTTAGTCTTAAAACCTTGACTGGCAAATATATCAACAGAGCAATAACTCAACACATTTTGAAACGAGACAAGAAATTATTTTTGTTTTCTTAATTTATTTTCTCTGCCTATTTCTGATTAAAACACATGGTTATCCCGAAACCCTCAAGAGGGAGCGGTGAATCAATCACTTCTCCTGTGTCCTCATGATCTGTTCCTCAAGTTCACCCCGCTGATGTTTTTTCCCACATCACATTTAACAGGGACAGCATGAACTCAAGCCAAGGCTTGGCTCTCTCGACATCATTCCCTTCTCTCCACCTCATTGCAGCTGGATTTCTGAAAATCCAGCTCCATATTTCTCCAAATCCATTTTCCTCCCTGTTGAATGCCCTTTGCAATCCCTGTAGAAGAGCTGGGGTTGGGAGCAGCCTCAGTTTCTGGCCATGGCAATGGTCAAGGTGTCCCCTCCAAGCTGAGAGGGTGCTGGTGACAAGGGGACACTGAGATATGTGTGAGTTCCTTTTTTTGGAGTTAAAAATCACCATTCCCACATTTTATGATTGAGGCAGTTCATGAATTGCACGTTATGAGGAGTCCACAATTAATTACCTGAACATTTATGGCCACTGTTGTATTACAAACTTGATTAGGGCTGACTGGGGAGAAACCACTTGAGGGGGAAAAGCCTTCTCACTGGGAATTTCCTCCTTTTTAGCTCCTTGATCTCCTAATCTGCATCAGAGATCCTGTTCTTATTTGATTTGGGGTTTGTTGTGCTTTGAATTAGTGTGAGAGCCAGGGAATAAACCACGAAGCACAGGTCCCACTGCTCCTGGCATAAATATTAAATCTGCCCTGCCCTACATAGCTGGTGGTGCTGGTTAGCCAGGCAGGGTTCCCAGAGCATAGAGCAGCAGAATTGCTCCTCATCTGTTGGAATACAAAACTCAGGGAACTCTCAGAAGTTTGGGCCTGGAAGCCAAAGCTTAGAATTAAACCCAGGATTTGATCTGAGACCTTGGAAAAGGCTCCCAAACTGAGATGCTAGAAGGGAGAATGTGGATTTATAGTTTAAAGCAGAGACATATTAAGCTGAGAAGAAGAAAATTTAGAGTTTTAGAGTTTAAGATAGAGAAAACATAAATCTAGTTACAGAAGTATACAAGGATTTTAGAATGCAGCACTGTAGGTTTGTGTGCCATAACATGATTGGCTAAGAAAGCTTAAACTGTAGCATGGATCCATAAGACTAAATATTTAAGGATTGGGTTAAAACAATAAATAATCATTGTTGGCAGTGTTTTATTGGTCAATAACTCCTTAAAAGGTCTTGTAACTTGAGGTCTGGTGACCTTCTGAATCATGCTGTGAAGATGTGAGCTGAACTCACCCTTCCTGCGCATGTGGAAGATAAGAAAAATAAACCACATCATCAAAAACAATTCAGAGGTCCCGTCTTGAATCCTTCCAAAATTCCCCACAAGTGAATTATCACACTGATCATCAGAAAAAAATGGGTTGTGGGTTTTTTTTCCTAAGGAAATGGAGAGAAATGCTGATTTTTTTCAGCAGCTCTGGGTTGTTATCCCTCCTCTGAGCGAGCACAGAATAAGGCTGGGTGCAGATCTGTGCAGTGATCCTGGAGAGCTCCAGCCTGGCCCACGAGGCCATGAATGCCCAGGAATGCCTCCCTGAGGACGGGCTTTGCTCACTGTGTCCCTCTGTGCCCTCCCTGCAGGCGTCCAGCACGCGGCCCGAGTGCAGCATCATGCTGGAGATCGAGGAGGAGCGCAGCCAGTGCCTGGCAGAGCTCACCTGGGACAACCACACCTCAGGTACGGCAACGCTTCTGTCCCTCCCTGGCCAGCACAGCCACCTCCCTCAGCCTCACAGCTGCCTTGTCCTGGCTGTTTCCCAGCCCTTCTGCTGCTGGAGCAAGGGTTCCTCCAGCTGCTCTTCAGGAGGCAGAGAAATAGGTGCTTCCAAAGCCAGCCAAGAGTTCCAGCAGCTCTGCAGCTTCCCTTGCAGCCTCCTGGCTGGGAATGCCTGACTGAGGTGTTCCAGTGGGTTTAATCACAGTTGTCCACAGTGATGGTGGTCACAGGGGTATTAGGATGAAGGAAGAGACGTAGATCTGACTCCATGTTACAAAAGGCTTGATTTATTATTTTGTGATATATATTAGATTGAAACTATACTAAAGAATAGAAGGAAAAGTTTCATCTCAGAAGGCTAGCTAAAAATAGAAAAGAAAAGAAGATATCAAAGGCAGCTGCTTTAGACTCTCTGTCCGAGCCAGCTGACTGTGATTGGCCATTAATTCTAAACATCTACATGAGACCAATCACAGATGCACCTGTTGCATTCCACAGCAGCAGATAACCATTGTTTACATCCCTGAAGCCTCTCAGATTCTCAGGAGGAAAAAATCTTAAGGAAAGATTTTTAATGAAAAGATGTCTGCGGCAGTCCACCTCCTTGAACTGGAATTTTTCCAATTTTTCCTTGGGAACTGGAAGCCTGAAGTTCTCCTAAGTCTTGGACCTAAGGGATGTCATTGTGACCATCTCCTTTGATTGAGATGCCCTCCCTTCCCTGTGCCAGAATTGCTCCTGTCCTCATGGTGGAGCAGAGGGTGCTCCAAGGCTGTGAAGTATTTCTGGAGTTGGGACAGGCAGCTGAGATCCTCTCCATGTTCATGGCGCACTCACCCCACTGAGAAATCCCCCTGGAAAGTTCTCCAGTCTCTTTAACCCTCTTCCTGCTTCAATGGTCCGGAAAGGAGGGAGGTTTTGGTGCTGCCCCATCCCATCCCATCCCATCCCATCCCATCCCATCCCATCCCATCCCATCCCATCCCACCCTGTCCTGCAGCAGAGCTCTCAGAACCCCAAATTAATGCATCCACTTGGATCTCTCCCCCTCCAAATGCCTCTCTCAAGTTATCAACCCCACGTCTGTCAGTATAAGGTGTGTAGGAACCCCCTTGTGTGTAGGAACCAGGTGAGACTGCCAGGATCCAAAAAAAAATAAAAAGGGGATCATTTTGCTGGGAAGATGAATCTGAAATCCTGGATGAGATTTTCATCCCTCCTCCCAAAAGAGGGAAAAGTGGAAGAGGAAAGTCTCCACTGGCAATGATTGCAGCCAGGCCACAGAGTGAAGGGCTGCTCTGATGGAGCAGAATCCTGGGACAAGCTGATCCCAGGAGGAGCTTCCTGGATGCCAGGAAGGCTTTTGGCCCCTGCTTTTATCTGCTAAGGGATGCTTGTCTTTGATTTGGAAGCTGTTTCAAGTGTCCTTGTACATTTAAATGGAGTCTTTTGAAGAAATGTTCTTCTGGAATCCAGTAAAGGGAGAACTCAGGGTGGATAAAAACCTTCATCTGAAAGCCAGCTAAATGCTTAATTTAGTTTTCATGGATATTTAAAGAAATTTAATTAAATACAATACATTAAAAGGAGAATAAATAGTTGAAGTGATGGTGTTTTTCTGCTTTTCCAAAATGATTTTTGTCATTGGAAACTATAATCCACAACAGCTCTTTTTTTTCTTTCTTTTTTTTTCTTTCTTTTTTCTTTCTTTCTTTTTTTTTTTTCTTTCTTTGTTTTTTCTTTCTTTTTTTTTCTTTATTTTTGTTTTCCCTGTAACAACAGAATTTAATTATTGGAAATATTTTTCCCAATTCTGAAGTAAAGACACACAGCCACGTTGCAAGTCATTCATGCCCAAAGCCAGTACGTAGAAATCCTTTGGAGAGTTTTTTTCCCTGAAATGCTGAAATGTTGGACTGCATAATTCCCTGGAATGCTGAAATGTTGGACTGGGAAAAATCTCCACCAGTCATTACTGATGAATTGGATTGATTCAGAAATTGCAGATTTAAGCACAGGAAAATGGTTTTGTCCATGAATACAGTACTGGAACTGGAATGACAAAGGGGAATGGCTTCCAACTGAAAGAGGGCAGGTTTAGATTGGATATTAGGAAGAAATTCTTTCCTGAGAGGATGGTGAGATCTGACACAGGTTTCCAGATGTCAGGAAAATTAATCCACAAACGCCAGAGGTTTATGTCCAAAAAGGAGACAGAGGAGACCTTTTTGGCTTTATTCAAATAAAGGGAGAGGCCATGGGGCATTCACCTGGGGTCTCTCAAACTTTTGGAGGACCCAGCCTCCCTTTTTATCCCAATTTTCCAGCCACATTTCCCTTATCTCTTTCCCCATTGGCTGAGATACTTGAGAGATTCAGACTTCCCAGAATGCCTGATACCAAAGATTTCCCTCTAATCTATAACCCTCCCTTTTAATTTTTAATTCTTATGGAATTTAGGGGTTTTCCCCATTGTTTCTTTCATCTTGCAACATCCACCTTTGTTTATCAGCAAACCTAAAGTCTGTTTGTAAAAGCAAATATCTTTTTTCCATTCCTCAATCAGTGGAATCCTTCCCATTGTTTCTTTTATATCTCAGTGCTGGTTTTATCCACCAACAGACCCACAGCTTGTTTGAAAAGACAAATCCATCATTCCTCTCATAGAGAAGCTGTGGCTGCTCCATCCCTGGAAGTGTCCAAGGCCAGGTTGGATGGAGCTTGGCACAATCTGGGACAGTGGAAGGTGTCCCTGCCCATGGAAGGAGATGATTTTAAGGTCCCTTCCTTTGTGGAAAGCATTTGGCAATTATTTACCCCAAAATATCAGCAGGTATTTAGGAGCTCAGTACCTGAATTTATTATCCAGACACTCACAACTGCCCTGGAGGCAACAGAAAAAAGCAGAAATTTTTTACACTTAAATGGGTGATGTGGATGAGTGTGTGGAGAACTCTGTTATGTGCTGTGTGGACAGACAATTTCCATGTGCCTACACAGGATGTGTTTCCCCTTCAGAGTGTTCGCAGAATGTGAGCACAAGTCAAAGAAGGTGTTTTTTTCTGAAGTGGGGCTCCATAACTCAATAAATGTGCCTGAGCTGTAAAATCAAACTTTGAACTTTGATGGGTGGGGGAAAGGGGGGAATTTGCTGGAGAGAAAGCTCATGAAGGTGATGATATGAGATCCTGTGAAGGTGATGACTGTTTCATCTGAGTGTTGCTGGAAAGAGAAATCCTAGTAAAACTCTGAGGAAAAACATGGTTTTAACCCAGTTCCATCCTCCTGTTCAGGGGAATGGAACTGAATTAAAATAATGTTTTTCCTGGAAAATTGGATGGAAAATTGAGGCTCCCTGTGATCTGCAGTGTTACACTTTGATTTATGGCCAGGTGGTTGTGTTGCTTTCTGCACTTCCAACACCTTTTCAGGAAAAGGAGAACCACTTGAGGTTTAATGAGTGTTTTATTATCCTTTCTAAACAAAAGAGTGGAAATAAACAGAGTGTCTCGGTACATTCTGGAGAGAAAGCTTTGTTTAGGAGCCATTATCAATGGCATTGATCAGAGGGGCTTAATCACAGCTGTAATTTGATGTGTCAGGCAGATTAGTCACTTGTTAAGAGCACTTGATGGTGCTGAGGTTGATCACTGGCTGGGGTTGAGCAGGTGGATTTCCACTGATAAACAACAGTGACCTTCTTAACCCTCTTTTTTTTTTTTTTTTTTTTTCCTTCAAACACCCACCCCTTCCTCACAGGGGCTGAAAGTGCATCAAATCCAGGTTTCTTTTCAGATAAATTTCTGCTATCCCTGGAAGTGTCCAAAGCCAGGCTGGATGAGGCTTGGGCCAACCTGGGAAGGTGTCCCTGTCCTTGGCAGGGGATTGGGAGGAGATGATCCATGTAAATCTATTCCCTTTTAGGAGAATGATTCATTATCTGTGGATTTACCCATACTTTAGGAAGTTTGACAAATGGACTTGATAATTTTAAAGGTCTCTTCCAACCCTGATGATTCTGTGATTCTAAAGCCCGGTGCTCATTAAATATTGCCTAACTCTGATGAGGAGAAGTTTATTTAATTTGTTTTCTCTCGGGGTCTCTCACTGCTCAGAGTGACCCCAAGATGTGTCAGAAAGTCTCTTTTCCCAGCCTGGTGGTCGAAGATGGAGTCAGAGCTCTTCATTTCTCGGTCTCAAGGTTGTTTCTTGTTCCTTATCTATAAAATTTTTTCTCCTGTCCATCTGAGGTCTGTCCAGCAGGACAGTCAGAGGCACACTGATCACCCTCAGGGTGGTGTTATCTTTTTATACTATACAATATTTACAATTACTTTCCAATACCTATCACCTGTGTCAGACAGTGAGCTTCTACTCTAAACCAATCTGTGAGTGCCACCATCACAGCAGAAGATGGAGGCCAAGAAGAAGAAGGAGAAAGGCTGGACATGCCCCAATTCCTCCATCTTGCCCCCTGAACCCCCATTCTAAAAACCCCAAAAATCTATTTTTCACCCCATGATAAATTCACTATCATACTACTTAAACTTTCATGGCTTGTAATTCTCCATATAAGGTTGGTAATTGTTTTTTCCAAGGGCTCAATCAAAGGCACAGGGGGGTCCTGGGCTCTGTGCCAGGGTCTCTGAGCCCCCTGACTGGGTGTCAAGTCCTTCAGGGCAGCCAGAGGAATTTTCCTGGGTTCCCACAGTTTTCCATCACAGGAAAGGCTGCAGAGGATGCAGCGAGGGGGAAATCCACAGGGAAAAGCAGTTGGAGCTGGCAGTGTGTACAGAGGAGAACCAAACAGCACCAAGAGCAAAGTCTGGGCATTTAAGGAAGTTTGTAACCATCAGAGGACACCCAGCAGCCTCTCTGCAGGTGTGCAGGAAGGAGAGTTTTATGGACTTGGTGGCAGAGCTTGCCCAGTTTCTGGAAGGGTGTGTGGGGTGCAGTTGTGT